ACAGCACAGTAAATCGCCACCAAAAGGAACACGCCGGTGAATACTCGGGCAAGTTTCATTGCAACAATATTGTGTTACTATTCCCACTTTTGAACTACGAATTTAATGATTTTATAGACTTACCCTCGTTAAATTCCGACTGAATTTGCATTTGCTACCTAACTACCACGCACCTACTTAGAAATTCTTCTATTTATTTGGTGTGAATCTTTCTATGAAGAGAGAACTACCAGTTGCCTACTATAGGCGGAGAAAGAGATATACATAGAGAGAGAGAAAACAAAGAATTTGATCAACGGCTCAAGGGAGTGACAGAAGGCAGGCCACGCAGTCCTTTTGGGCGGATCTTCCAAGAATAGAAACTGTATGCATGGAGCCATGGAATATACATATATGAAAATATTTGTTTAGTTTTCACGTAGTGGGTTTAAAGCGTGTTTGGTTTGAATTGAGATAATAGCGACTTACATAAAAGATTTGAGCCATGAATTTTTTGTTCAATCATGTTGTGTACTCTTTGAATATTATCGAGTTGACTCGAGAACGAATTGAACGGTTCGTTTAAGTCGACACACTATGAAAACTTAAAGTTTCATTTTAAATTTTCTAACTAATTCTGTTGTATATTACTATTGATCCATTCTTTGATTATAACGCTAGCGGGAGTGAAAAGATCGTGATAAAAAGTGTGATAAAAATTTTCCACTAATAGTGAATTTTATTGAGTACTTAGGAGAAAAGAAAAATTGGCCCAACATAGTGTTGATTATTCTATTCGATCACTTTTCGAGAAAATTTAGTTATAAAGGACAACAAAAAATAGTCCAACATAATATCGACTTACTGGTGGATCACTTTCCATAGATTACAAAGATGTTTAGTTACAACTAGAACAGTTGTTAGATTAATAAAATTCTTTTCAAAAAAGCTCAAATATGCTATATTTTATTTTCAAAAAGTTCCAATGTTGTGTTTGGTAAAAATTTTAAGCATAATTCAGACTGTTGTATGCACTATTTAGTCGAAATGTTTGATTGTGTTGTCTCATGGTGGGTCCCAAGATGTGAAAAAAATTAGTACACAAATTGATTTTTTGGTTTAAAAAATTGTTACCAGACAAGTCAAAATTTATTACTTTCAATCACTTTTCCAACAAACAATACATCCATATAATTAAAATAAGCTGACTTAGCTTGTTTGATCATGGTTGGATCATTGCAACAACTACAGTAGTCTTTAAAATCAACTTCCAATGAAGATACCACCATTAATTATAAACTCTCAAATTAAGCCCTTGTTTGAGAACCATTATTTGGGTAAAATAAAATTTTGAATAGTATTTTTTTGGAGAATGTGTGATTAAAAAATAGCAAAACGCTTTGAGTTTACATACGAAATATTTTATTGTGTAAATGTGTAATTAAAAATGAATATGTAGAATTTTTTTTTTTTT